TTCAATTCCTTTTCACTTATTTATGTTCTATGAGTATGTGTTCTGTTTTGGAGAAAATGACACATGTACAGCCAAAAAGAATGTGTATTCTGATTTTTTGGAGTGGAACATCTCTGTAAACATCTGTTAAGTTTATTTATTCAAGAGTTTGATTGAGTTCTAGTATTTTGTTGCTTATTTTCTGTCTAGTGGATCTATCTATTTCTGAGAGTGGGGTATTGAAGCAATACTATTATTGCATTAGCATTTATTTTGTTTTTCATGTCCATTAGTATTTATTTTATATAGTCAGGCACACTAGTGTTTGGTGCATATTTTTTTTCTTATTGGGTTTTCTTTAGTACATTTTAGGTATACAGTACAGTTACATTCATCACTGGAATCTTGTACCTTTACATTAAATGTTATGGTTCTCATTTTTTCCCCTTACCCCTGCCCTCCCTTCAACCCCTCATCCTTCCCTATTTACAAATACTTTATTTCCATTTTTTCATTTTCTCATATTTTCCCCTTATTACCTTGCCCCTACCCTTCCCACTTTCCCTATACCTTTAGCCCTTTCCTTCCTATTTGACATTGTCAATTATACCTTTAGGATTTTATGTACAATTATAGTTTTTTACACTCGTGTGTATATATCTGTGATTGTCATTTCTTCCTCCTGGATTGTTCCCTTTACAAGGATGTAGTGTCCTTCTTTATCTCTCTTAACCACTGTTTGTTTGAATTCTACTTATCTGCAAAGAGGATAGCTAGTCTTGCTTTTGGGGGCTTCCTATCACATGGAGTATTGTTTTCCACCCTTTACCTATCAGTCTATAAGCTTCTTTTTTATTTGTCTGTTTTTTCTATGCAGCATATTGTTGGATATTGCTCCTTGCCCCATTCTGCCAGTCTATTTCTTTTGATTTGAGAACTGAGACTTATAACACTGATGGTTATAACTGATATGTACTGATATCCTTGTCATGACTTTTTCGTTTTGTTGTATTCTCCCTTTCTGATTGAATTTCTTATCACCTCTCAGCCTTTTGTCTAAGATCAAGTGTGAATTTAATTTCTTGTAATGCCTGATGGATTCCTTCTGCTGGGCTTCCTACAGCTGTTATACTGAATGTGTTTCCCTAGGATATTGTTTAAAATTTTATGGAGTGCTGGTTTGTTACTCATGAAATTCCTTCAGTACTCTTTTGCATGAAAATATGCTATTTCTCCATCAATTTTGAAAGATTTTTGCAGGGTACATCAATCTGGATGTGAGTTTATTTTCTCTCAGGGTTGGCAAAATGCCACTCCCAGCTCTTCTTGCCTCGAAGGTTTGTGTTGAGAAGTCTGCTGTGATCTGATGGGATTTCCTTTACATGTGATTTGTTTCTTTTCTCTAAATGCTTGTAGAGTTTGTTCTTCTGTTGTTTTCTGGAATCTTAAATATTAAATGCCTATGTGTAGAATTTTTGATCATGGCTAATTGGAGTCCTATGTGTCTCACTTAACTGCATGTCAAGTTCTTTACCCCTGCTTCAGAAGTTTCTGCCATTACTTCAGTGAAAAAATTTTATGTCATTTTTCACTCTCTCCTGTTTCTTCATTGAGTCCAGTCTGTCTTATGTTATTCTTTGTTGTATCATTTAGCATCTGCTGGATTGATTTCTCATAGTCCTTTACCATTTTTAAGAATTTTTTCTTTCCTGGTCATTAACTGCAATCCTATCTTCTATATCTGAAATTCTGTCTGCTCATTTGCTGGTTCTGTGGTGTAAACTTTCAATGGAGTTTTTTAAACTACTGGTTATCTGTTTACATCAGTTTTATGGATTCCATTTGTTTCCCATATTGGGATTCAGTCATATTCCTCAGCTCCTCTATTTTTTAAAATCTGTGTCTGCTCTAGATTTATTAATCATGTCTTGTACCACAGGCATGCACAATTTCTGCTGTTATCTGAGAAACTATTTATGATTTCATTTTTATCCAGATCCTGTTTTGTTGCCAGTTCAGGGAGTCCAGGTCGTTGAGTGCTAGACTTTTTTCAGCTCTTTTTTCTTGAGTTTGCCTTAGGTGATCTGGAAGTCAGGTTTTGGTACTGTTTTTAATGTGCTTTCTCATTTCAGCAGATGCGGCTTTCTTTGCCTTTATTGAGGTAACTTTTTGCTCACCCAGTGGCCTTCAATTCTCATCAAGCCACCAAGCCGACTTTACTCTGCTGTTCACACGTACAACATTTCCTGGGTACAGAACGGTGGATTTCTGGATCCCTGAGCTGACCTGTTGTCTGTGTGGGCTTCTGGTTGTGGCCTGTGAACACTTGGGATGGTATCTAGGTGTGCCTCTTGCTTGGTCCTCTATGTACCTGTTGTCTTGGAGGGCCTTTGACTGGGGGCTGTGCACCCAGTTCCTGTTGTCTGAGCAGGTTTCTGGCTAGGGTCTCCATGCACTTATCAATGGTATGGGGGCAAGAGCCTCTGGCTGTTGCTTATCCGCCTGTTTAGCTCTTTTCTGGATGGGCCTTTTGGCTTGGGAGGGTGTACCTGAGCCTCTGGGGTCAGGGCAAAGCCCTGGTTGGCATCTTCCTGCAGCTGTGCTGCTCTAGACCACACCACTGTTCCCTGGGATCCGTGCATACTCACCAATGTGCTAAGTCCAAGAATTTCTAAATTAATTAATTTCTGATTAAACAAATTCCTAACTCCACTAGAGTAGCAATATTAGTTTTTCACTTAATTAAATTAGATAAAACATATAGAATCATGCATGGGAATATATGGTTAGATTTAATACATTAGACTTTGGATGCAATTAATACAAGTACATATGCCTTTCTGATATTTTCGTTTTTACTTACATTAAAGCTGTATTCTCTAGTATGGTTAAAAAGGCTGAAAGTCATTTCAGAAAAATAATGCATTTGAAAATACACTGATTCACATTCATTTCAGAAAATTTTTTTTTTTTTTTTTTTTTTTTTTTT